CTTCCGAACTCTCTCAGGCTAAAATTCATACTTAGCCTAGTGCCCACGGCCCATTTCTTCAGACTTATTTCCTGCCACTGGCACAAACTCACTCTTCTCTCTAGTTCTACCACAGACTTGAGCCTCCAAACCTGTGGAGCATCTCATGGCCCCCAGACCTTTGCCCCTGCTGTGTTCCCTGCTCTGCACGCCTTTTCCCTGGCTTCACCTACTGCCTCCTACTTCTACTTCATAACTTCTTTCAAGCAGCACCTTCTTTGCAAAAAGCTTTCCTGACCACTCCTGAGTTGGACTAGAAGCTCCTCTTTGATGCTGAGTGCATATCCGTCAATTTTTATCCCATTCGTTTCTTTATTAGCAAACCTGTATTGAGTGCCTGTTCCAGGCCAGACACTGTTCTCAGTGCTGGAGAGACAGCAGTGAACCAAACAGGAAACTTTCTCATCCCATGGGGCTTACATTGTTATAATTTAATGATTCGTCTGGTCATCTTCCCCACTGGACCAGAAGCTTCTTGAGAGGTAGAACCTAGTGGTGCCTGCTCTAGAAGCCCTCTCAGCCCTCTCAGCAGGTGTCCAGCACCCCCATCTGGCGTGCAATCTCCTTTGAGTGTAGTTCTGTGCAGGTTGAGGGGTCTAAGCTGTACCAGGCTAAGCCCTCGCCGCCAGGGCTGCCTTTGGGCTCACTAGCCACTGCTTTGCACTCCCCTCCACCACCCCTGTTGGAGCCCCTCTAGCCAGCACTGGGTCTCACTGGTGGACCTGGGGACCTCACAGAGGATGTTGGCAGGGAGGCTGTGTGCGAACAGGCTTCCATGTACCTCTCTCACTGTGTGCAGGGTTTGAGTCTCCTGCAGGACCTGCCCCATCGCCCTCAGCGCCCCCAGCACCCCCGTGGCAGGGCCGCAGTGTGGCCAGCTCCAAGCTCTGGATGTTAGAGTTCTCTGCCTTCCTGGAGCAGCAGCAAGACCCTGATACGGTAGGTTCTGGCGTCTGGCCTGCTCTCCTGCCCCCCTCATTCAGTTCCAGCTCCCTTGCCTTCTCCAGCTCTTTTACTGCCTGCGTGTGATTTTCTTACCCCGCCCTTCTGCCCTACCCCACTTTGGGCTTTAATATAGCTTCCTCATTCCTTTCCAACGGTCCCCCTTCTCTCTCCTCTCTCCCCTCTCTCTCTGTTTCCTGTCCTTCCTCAAGCTACCTCCTCCTTCTTTTCTCACTTTACTTTCCTCTTCTCCCTTCTGTAGCTATTACTCCCATCCCAAAGCCCTTCCGTGGTTTCTTTACCCGACCCTAGCTCTCTCAGGTCCTCTCCTTTTCCTGCTCCCTCCCTGACCTCTATTCTTCCCTCCCTGTTCTCTTTCCTCCCAACCACTTCTCAGTCCAGAGTCACTCATCTCAACCCCACCCCCAGGCTGTTCTGTCCTTTCCCCTGTGGCTCTGAGGAGCCTCCTGTGTCTGATCTACATCCCTGGGGAGTCCCGCCTCCACCCTGTCCCCTTCAATGTTCTGTGTCCTGGGTGACCAGCATCACTTGCAAAAAGTCAAAATAGCACTTGGAGAAGGCTGGGCTGACAGATCATTTCACTTTGTCATTTCTAAACTTGTTTTTGAAATAATTTTTTGTTAAATCTATTGGGGTAACATTAGTTAATAAAATTATATGGGTTTCAGGTGTACAATTCAATAACACATCATCTGTTCACTGCATTGTGCGTTCACTACCCAAAGTCAAATCTCCTTCTGTCACCACGTATTTGATCCCCTTTACCCTTATCTGCCTCCCCTCTCTCCCCTTTCCCTCTGGTAACCACTAAACTGTTTTTGTTTGTTCATTTGTTGCTTTCAGTTTTATGTACTACATATGAGTGAAATCATATGGTTCTCAACTTTTTCTGTGTGACTTATTTTGCTTAGCATGATAATCTCAAGGTCCATCCATGTTTTCGCAAATGGCAGTATTTTATCTTTCCTTGTGGCTGAGTAACATTCCATTGTACACATGTACCACAGCACCTTTATCCAGTCTTTTCAGTTGTTTCCATGTCTTGGCCACTGTGAATATGCTGCAGTGAACATCGGGGCCCATATATCTTTATGAATAAATGTTTTTGAATTTTTGGGGTAGTTAACCAGAAGAGGGATTGCTGGGTCATATGGTCATTCTATTCTTAATTTTTCAAAGAACCTCTATACTGTTTTCCGTAGTGCCTGTACTAATCTGTAGTCCCACCAGCAGTGTATGGTTTTTTCCCACAACCTCTCCAACACTTGTTATTACTTGTCTTGTTGATAATAGCCATTCGAACAGGTGTGAGGTGGCATCTCATTGTGTTTTTTTAATTTTTATATAACTTTTATTTTTTTATGGTGACATTGGTTAACGAAATCCAGTAAGTTTCAGGTGTACAATTTAACAGTAAGGCATATATATGCATTGCATTGTGTGTTCACCTCCCATAGTTAGATTTCTTTCTGTCACCATCATTGTGATTTCGATTTGCATTTTAAACTTGTTTTTTAGCTGAGGAACCCATTAATCAAATAAACTCTTACTCAGAAGCCGAGTGTATACAACAAAAGAAGTAGATTTTGTCTGGTTGTAGCAGCAGAGCCACCCAGCCCCTGTCCACAGGGATGGAGCACAGTTTGAAAATACCTTATCTAGGTCAGTGGTCTTACCTCCCAGATGAGACGCCAGAAGCCCAAAGATAGAAAATCACTTGCCTAAGGATATTTAGTGACAGAGGCAGGACTAAGAATAATACAAATAACAACTACAATTTATTGAGCATCTACATGGTGCCAGGAACTGCATCAGATGCTTTATGCCATTAACTTTGCTTTATATTTCATTCTTTTACTATCTCCATTTTCCACTGGGGAAACAGAGTGGGGCCCAGAGAGGTGAAGTTACTTGCTACGGGTCACATGGCTGAGATCTGAGCTCTGGTCTGTTCTGTCTGTTCTGTCTGCCCTGCTGCCCTCACCTCTCCCTCAGACCAGCTGTTCTCTCCACAGTACAACAAGCACCTGTTTGTGCACATTGGCCAGTCAAGCCCAAGCTACAGTGACCCCTACCTCGAAGCCGTGGACATCCGCCAGATCTATGACAAGTTCCCAGAGAAAAAAGGTGGACTCAAGGAGCTCTTTGAACGGGGACCTTCCAATGCCTTTTTTCTCGTGAAGTTCTGGGTAAGCTTTTAATAGATTCTCCCTCTCTACCCCTAGTATGTCGATGAGAGAGAGGGGAAAAGAGGAAGAATGGGCGTGAGGTTCCCTTGTCATGGTGGAAACCTGGTGAGGGCAGGACCAGTGAGAAGGCAAGGAGCAAGTACTAATGACCATCCAGTGGTGGAGCTGAGACCCAGAGTTGGGCCAGCGGGGCCAGAGAGCTGGGCTACTACGAGGCCCTTTTCAGATTTGTAGTAATGGTTACCACACTGGGTGGGAGCACAGCCTTAAGAAGGCCGTAGTAGTGGAAGAAGACTTACAGGAGATACTGAGGGAGTAGGTGAAAAGCAATCATGGACGCAGTAGTCACCCGAGTCTGAATGGCAAGTCCTGAGTGGTTTCAGACCTTGGAGCAGGGCAATTGGTCCTTAAAAGCTCATCGCCAAGGATGGGGCTTGGAGAAGTGGACTGCAGAGTTAGGAAAGGTCATCCCCAAAGAAACACCCACCCAGCTTTTCAAACAGTTCAGCCCCTAGACTTGGTCTCTGCTGCCCTCCTCACCTCAGACCTGGACAGCTACTATGTGGGGAGAGCCCCCTCCTTTCAAAACACCTCCTGTAAGACCAGGAGGCACAATTAATACCTTCTCTGGGAGCTTACCTTCTAAGAGGCCTGGTACACACAAAAAAGGGATGCACAGGAGAGTCAGACAAGTGCAAACCAATGCAGCAGTGAGGAAATGCAGGAAATCCTCCTGACTTGCGATTGGAGCCTTTGAATAGTTTCAGGGCTTTGATACTAGGCCTCGGTTGTCCTGCCCCCATTCCTCTTCCGGGCACCCTTGCCTGTCTGTTAACACCTAGGAGACAGCTCAGAGGTTCTTATCCTTTGCATGGTCCCAGACCACTTTGATTATCTTAAAGCTTTACTTTCTCCAGAAATAGGCAAATTCACACAAAATTTCATATATAATTCTAGGTGCTTACAGGCCCTTGGCTAGATATTCCTAGCCTAGCTCTCATCCACAAGCAAATCTGTGGAGCTGGCTCTCTCCAGAAGAGGCAAGTGCTGAAACTGAGACCCAAGTCCCCTGATGTTTAAGATGCTCGTTTTTGCACTCTGCAGGGTAGCTTGTTCTGTGAGCAGGATGAGAGTTGGACCTGGGCCTTTAGAGATAGGCAAGATCTATTAGGCAGAGACAAAGAAAGGCTGTTTTAGCTGTATATCCACAATGTAAGGAAGTGGGCTCCAGAGGGGAAAGTCATAGATACAGGTATGTGAGAGGGAATGAAAGAAAATAAAACTGCAAAGGTGAGTTAGATCTTGGAAGGCCCTGATCGTCCAAAAGTCTGGGTTTTAATCTATGCTGAGTGAAAAACAGGTAATCGTTTCTCTTATCTTATTTTGAATTCAGTGCATGCTCATAGTTATAGTATTAATAACATGATGAAAAGTATCAGATACTCATCCTCTTCCCCCTCGACCCCAGTCTCCAGAGACAATCACTATGAATTTTCACTGTTTGTTCTTGCTTTTATCTCCTTAGTTCTAAATAATATGCTTATACTGTTATATCTTGATATTACAACTAAGACATGTATTCTTATGGCAGAAAAAAGTTAGCTATGTTATACCTCATCACCTCTATATCATCATATCTAATAAGTTATATAATTTAATCAAAGCAATATAATTTTTACATTTTTGACAATGTGTGTTGACCACCAAGGAGCCGAGAAGTGTTATGTGATTACATTTCATATCTTGTACAGCTTTTTGGTTTTTTCCTACAAATAAATGAGTTTCTCACTTGCATATTTTTAAAAAACCTATTTTTAAAATTTTCCAAGATCTAACTCACCTTTGGAGTTTCTTCATTACAACTACAATATAAAATTTTTAAAAATGTCCCCCAAATATTCAAACCTACCAAATATTTTATCAATTCCCTATTTCTTCTAGAGATTTTTCTTCTGGATGTCTCTGTTCTGCTCCTGTTTAAACTGGTTATTCCTTAGGCCTGTTGTCACCCAGGGACCTTCTTTATTGAAGCTCTCCTATCTTGAATCTACAGTTTTCCTAGATCTCATATTTTTCTCTCTTTTGGTATCTCCCTATATTTTGCTGGAACACGTTCCCTAGTACCTTCCTAAGAAAAGAAAACATGTAGATAAACGTCTGATTCTTTGTTTGAAATGTCACTTTTTTTGTTACTGATGAGTACTTTGGGTATAGAATCTAGATCATACATAGATCATTTTCACTAGATACAATTGGATAGATACAATTTTTCTCTTTTCTTTCTGGAAATATGAAGTGAATTCTACTGATCATTTTAATAATCATTTTTCAATGCATTGCTCAATTGTTTTCTAGTAGGGGTAGTCTGATAGCGTTCTAATACTCTATTTGTTATGTAAATTGCTTTTGTTTTTGTTTTCAGTCTCTAGAAGTTTTGCATTTCCTCACTATCCCTGATGTTCTTAAATTTCACATTGATGGGCTTTGGGCCATGTATTATTTTCTTCCTATTTTTGAGCCAGGCACTCTGTAGGTACTTTTTAATCATGGGATTAGAGTCTCTTAATTTGGGGAAATCTACTTGTATTATTTCTTTGGTAATTTCTTTCCTTCTTTTTTATCTGTGTTCTTTTCTAGGAACCCCTATCGGTCTGATGTTGGATCTCCTGAACTTATCCTCTATGATTTTTACCATTTCTTTATTTTCAAACTCTTTTTTTATTTTTTTTTGGTCTGTTTTCTTGGAGATTTCCTTAACTTTACCTTCGAATTCTACTGAATTAGCATATTACATAAAACCCAAAGTAATGAAGGCATAAATAGTTTTTTTTTCCATGTAATGTACGTCTGAAAGTAGATTGTCCAGGCCTGATCCAACAGCTCCATGAAGCCATCAGGGACCTGACTTCTCCCTGTCTGTCATCGTTAGTACATGGCTTCTGTCCTCAGGGTCGTGGCTGCTAGAGTTCCAGGCATCAGGAAGGAGGAACTCAACTTAGTTCCCTTTAAGGAGCCTTTCTGGGAGTCCCGCACAACATTTAACTAGTTGTATGTTGTACCTAGCTACCAAAGAGCCAAGGAAATACACTCTGCTAGCTGAGTAAGTTACCATTCTGAATAAAATTAGGGTTCTGTTGCTATAGAAGAAGATGGATGAGGCAGTTGCTAGCGTGTCATGGTTCAGATGATGGCATTTTTCTTAGTGGTTCATAAATCATGGTGTATCATACAGTTAATGGTGAATTAGGTTAATGGACTATGGTGGCATTCTCTGCCACACTTTCTGTCCAGTACTGAATTTTGAGCAAGAAATTTTTAATTTTTAAGAGCTCCTTTTCTTTGATTACAACCATATCTCGTTGGATAGATACAATTTTTCTCTTTTCTTTCTGGAAATATGAAGTGAAAGTTATTTTTTAAGTTGTCTTCTGCTCCCTTTGTCTGTTTCCTTTTAATCCTTTTTTGGTCTATTTTGATTTCTGTCTTTCAAGTTGGAGAGTTTTCTCAAATATATATAATCCTTGGCCATATTGTTTAGCACGTAGGTTTTAAAAACAGCCTTATTTTTATATAATTCACTTACCACACAATTCACCCACTTACAGTGTACAATTTAATTTTTTTTAGTATACTCATAGAGTTATAAAACCAGTCAGTTTTTATTTATTTTTATTATTATTATTTATGCCTACAGCACCTGGTCTTCCTAGGTGGTCTTACATCCATGTGCTAACGAGGCCTGACCCTGCTTAGCTTCCAAGATCAGACATTGGGCTTGTTCAGGGTGGCATGACTGTAGACCATGGACTATGGCTTCACTGGGGCACAAACCCAGGACTTTCTGCATGTAAAGCAGATGTGCTAACCACTACACTATGGAACCATGTCCAGAACCAGTCAATTTTAGAACATTGTCATCACCCTGGAGGCAAACCTGTACCCTGGAGCTATTATCCCCCACCCTTACTCCCCCAGTCTTAGGCTACTACTAATCTACTTTCTATCTTTATGGCTTTGCCTTTTTGGAACATTTTCTATAAATGGAATCAAACAATATGTAGTGTTTTGTGACTGGCTTATTTCACTTAGCATAATGTTTTCAAGGTTCAGCCATGTTGTAGTAGGCACCAGTACTTCATTCCTTTTTAAGGCTGAGTAGTATTCCATTGTGAGGATATACCACATTTTGTTTATCTGTTCATCAGTTGATGGTCATTTGGCTTCTGTCTACCTTTTGATTATTATGAATAATAATAATCAAATAGTGTTGCTATGAACATTCCTGTACAAGTTTTTATATGGAAATATGTTTTCATTTCTCTTAGGTGTATACTTAGGTGTGGAATCGCTAGATCATGTGGTAACTCTATGTTTACCTTTTGGAAAAGCTGCCAGACTGTCTTCTAAAGTGGCTGTAGCATTTTATATTCCTACTAGCAGCATGTGAGGGTCCCAGTTTCTCCACATCCTCCCCTTGACATTCTCTGTGATTATTGCATTCTTATATTTTCTTTGGAGAAATGTCTGTTCAGCAGCTTTGCCCATTTTAAAATTGGATTACTTGTCTTTTTATTGATTTATGAGTTCTTTGTATATTATAGATAGAAGTCCCTTATCAGATACATGGTTTGAAGATGTTAGCTCCCATTCTGTTTGGTCTTTTAACATTCTTTATAGTATCCTTTGAAGCACAAAAGTTTTTCATTTTGATGAAACCCAGTTTATTCCTTTGTTGTTTGTTTGTGCCACTTGTCCATGTTTAATAGTGACTAGGAACTCTGTGAACAAGGCAGGACTTGTTACCTGATGGCCTTCACATTAAGGTGATTGGGGAGCCAGCTGTTTTATTGGGGAGACCAATAAGTGTCAGTATGTTTACTAGACCTTTATTTTCCCAAACTGTTCAGTTTCTCCAGAGAAGACTCCTTTAATTCCTTCCCTGGAAGGGATGTACCTGATCAGTAGAATTCTAGGAGTGGGGCGAAGGAGAGGGCTACGGGATCCTACCATTTCTTATGCAGGTTTTACTTAATTCTCCTGTTTTTATCCCTGTTTCTTCTCCCTCTTCTGAGCCCTCCTGCTTAATTTCTTAAGACAATCACCCCTTCGTCCTCTGCTGATGGGTGGGAGATGTCGGCCTAGAGTCCTGCCCACCCTGTGTACACACTTTTAGTCAGTTCCTTGTGTCACATCCTAGCCTCCCCCAGTCCCACTGTCCTGGTCCCTCTAGTCCCAAGCCACTTAGGGCTTCTCTCCAGTACATCAGCTCACTTCTTATCTGTCACTCCTTTGAAGGCACTTTTAGGTTGTAATTCCTTCTGCTTCCTTTGCCCCCACAGAATTCATTTTAGTTTTGGTCAGCCTTCAGTCTTCTTGAGTCTGTCGAACTCTTTTGTCATTTTGGTCTCTTCTCCGTTTTCTTTGCCTTTTTGGTGTAGCACATTTTTAAAAGTTCTTTGCTATCATTTTAGTTGCTTCTCTGGAAGGGGAAAAATGAACTTGTATGTTTACTCTCCCATTTTAACCAGATGTCCAGGAAAATGAGTTTTAATCTGAGTGTCACCTGCAATGGATTGATTGATAGTCATTGTTTGGAATTCTGGGTTGAGAAAGATCTAGGGGGAGAAAGTGCTGGTAATGTCTGTCATGGGTATAGCATCGGATGAAAGTGGTACATTTATTACATATTTGCTGTCCCTTTTCTCTAGGCAGTGAGAAATCATTGAAGCTTTTTGAACAGGGCACGATATGGCCAGAGTTGTGCTTAGTTGGATAAATCAGCCATCCAGACTGGAAACTAGTAGGAGACTGCTATCATATAGGCCAAATGAGAGGCAGCAGCCTCTTTAGGACCTCAGCCAGAAAGGGTTTAAAGGGCTGTTCTTATTATATACACACAGTGAGGTGGGTCAGGGCGGTCAGTGAAAGATTGTGCCAGGCACTGTTCTTATCACGTTACATATATAGGTATGTTTTATCGTTGCCACACACCCAGAGGTAGGTAGAGTTGACAGCCTCCTTTCATTGAGGGGAAACAGGCACAGAGAAGTGAAATGACTTGACAGGGACACCAAGTTCATAGTGGCAGAGCTGGATCCAGAACCAGACAGTCTGGATAGAGGGTGTGAGCTTGGAACTGTTACACTAAACTGTCTACCTTGCAAAGTCCCTGGGGTGCCCTCCCCGCCTGGTCCTGGTGCTTCCCCTGTTCCTGTTGGTGAAGGCTCTGGATTGCCCAAGAAAGGGTTCCCAGGCCCCTGGGGAATGACATGCAGACACCAGACTTGACTCTGTGCTGTCAGTGTGGAGTTGGGCTTCTTGGATTTTCTAGAGTCCAGGCTTCTCTTCCAGAAAATGGAGAGGGGTATCCTGCCTGTCCTCCAGCCTGGCTCGTGGTTCATGTCTTCTCCTTCCTTCTGACTCTGTGGGGAGATTGGAGGTGGAGATTGATGGGAGAAGAGAAGGTAGGAAGGAGGGGGTGCTGAGGAAACATGATCAGGCAGGTTCCATGTATGGCCTTCGTGCTCTGGCCACAGGCTCTGCACACCACCTGTGCTGTGTGGACCCAGTGTGACCCTGTCTTCCAGGAGCTCACGTTTTGAGGCGGAGAACTCAGAATGGATCTCAGGGTCCTGAGGCAGTTATCGCTGTGCAGGGGAGCATGGTGGGCTACAAGCCAGGCCCTCCCAGTGTCTCAAGGGAGTACAGGCGGGCAGCAGCTGGGACATAGAGGCTCTAGCCTATAGAGTTCGAGAGCTATGTCCTGAGCAAATCTCAGCTTCTCTGGGCCTCTGTTTCTCCATCTGAAAAACAAGCGGTTTGTTCTTGAAGGCCTGTAACAGGCTGTGTCTTTGAGGACCTGATGTGTGTGGGGTCAGCTGGCAGTGAAAGGAAGCTGTGGGCCTGCCTTCTCCTGCCTTGTGCCTGAGCCGGGCTCTCTCGGAAGGCCAGAGGCTTGGGCAGGGTGAGGACAGGTGAAATCAGAGATGGGGGCATATCTGTAGCCAGGGCACTTTGGCGGTCATCTCGTCTCTTCTCCGCCTGTCTGGGTTGGGCATAGGCACCAGGGAAGTACAGACCTGTGATGTGGGGAAAAGAAATGCTCTTGTTTGCTAGCCGTGGATATTTGGTCAGCCATGGGGTACTCACTGGCAGCTTGGCGTCCCCAGACTTCTGGACCCTCTTCTCCTGTGCTCTGGCCTGGCCATTCCTTCCCCATCCATCGGGGACTGGCCACATGCAATGAGGAAGGCACCTCTCCTGAAAGCCTTCCTTTCTTCTGTATAGCAGTTTTCTGGTTACGGCCCCAGGCCTTGAATGGGCATGCAGGAAAGTTGATCAGAGCCCCCTTGGATTGGGAGGAGGACTTTGATGTCCCCAACCCATCCTCCTCCTCCCAGCCCCCTTCTCACTAAAATTAGTGTTCTTATTGATGGGATTGCAGTAGTATCTCTGCCAGGACAAACTGTTCCCAACCTGGTGGAAAGTGGCATCTGGGTGCAGGAGGGGTTGAGATGTAAGGCTGTGCTCCATCGGATTCTGATGGTTGATCAGAGCCCCCTTGGATTGGGAGGAGGGCCTGGAGCAGGACTGAGAAGCTGAGACCCTTTCTTCCTGCCCTAGCACACATGAGACCAGCAGAGGCCACCTCTGTCCTGGGGGTGGGGGGAGAGGGGACTCTTGGATACCGATGGCCATTAACACCCATTTGCAAACAGAAAATGCTGGGCAGAGGAACCCGAGGCCGTGAGGGGAGGAGAGTACCCCAGACTGTCTGCCCATCCCAGCCTGCTGTCCCGTTTTGGGCCCTGACATTTCTCCCAGGCACATACCAGCACATGACAATGAATCTGAGCCCCTCCGGCCCCCACACCCGAGCTGCGGCTGTCCCTGCTCATCTGTCAGTCACCCGATCCCCCACACCTGTTCCAGGCACAGCCTGTGAGCTGCCCACCCGCACCACAGCTATGAATAGGGTGGAGGTTGGGGAACAGGGGGCATTCTGAGGCCAGGAGGGCAAGTGGTAGGGGGCACCTCTTAGGGTAATATGGGGGTAGGTTTCCTCTTAGGCTAAGAAAGTAGAGAAGCAAGCTTTTTATGGGAGGTGCTTAAAGTGGGGGGATACAGGGTGGAAAGAGGGATGGGGTTATAATTAGAAGGATGGGGCACTGAGGACAAGATGAGACACTCTGGGGTGCCTCGTCTACATCATTGGCCAGCATCTCCTGAGTCTGTGCGGTGTCATCACAGGGCAGGTTCTGGGACAGACTTTAGATTGTCACGTGTAGGATATGTTTTCCTGAAATCCCTCTTTCCCCACTCCAAACAACCAGCTCACTTACTCTACTTGTTTTCCCATGAGTTATAAATTCCTTGAGAGCAGAGACAATGTCTGAGCCTCTTTGGCCCCCGTTGCCCCTAGCTGTGCTGGGCTGCGATAGGATAAGTGGTGATTGGCTGACTGATTGGAAGGTCCAGGTGAGTGGGAGGTGGTGACAGAAGACCCTGGAATATATTTGAGATCGGGGCAGAGCTGGGGCTCAGAGGACTCCTCTTTAAGCAGGAGATTGTGGATCCTTCCTTGGGATCAAGGGCCCTCTTTCTTCCGACCTGGAGCCACCGCGAAGTGAGGGGTAGAACAGCCCCACACGACCTTTATTGAAGGCCCATCCTGTACCAGGTATTGTCCAAGGCCTGGGCAGAACTTAGTTCTTGCCTCTAGGGTGCTCACCAGCTGGAAGGGGCAAGGCCGTCTGAGCAGATCCTACCAGCACAGACCGATGAAGGGCATGTCCACACCGCCGCGGGAGTGCTAGGACAGCTGCTACTTTTTGTGTCCTGGGAAGAGCCTGGGAGGGCTGGGCCAGGTCCGCCCAAGCCTGGTGGTGCAGTGTTCTTTTTAGGCATCACACGAATAAATATTTCTTCTTTAATACTTATATAATTATTTTCATACATATTAGAAAAGTAAAATCCCTGATTTCATGACTATATTGCTGAGAATGGAATAAGAGTGAGTCAATTTAAAAAGAAAAAACAAAACAAAAAACATTAGGGGCGTAGTAGGACAAGTACGTAGTGGGTGGTACATGATATAGCATTAATCATGGGGCGGTCAGCAGGGCTGAAAAGCGGCTGAAGTCTGAGAAACATTTTATGCCCTGGCCGAGCCCCTTGGACGTCCCCCAACCCCTCTGTGTTCCCCCACGTTCAGGTACCTGCCCTTCCCTGGCCACTGAGCTTCCTGCCAGCTTTTTTCAGACTTGGTCCACATTTCTGCCCTGTAACTAATGCAGGTCCCAGTGTTCTCTTTTTCTATTGTTTAGGCAGCACAACCTGATTTTATACCAGGCCTGGATGTGGAGAAAGGTGAAAACTTTCCTAGATCCCACTGTCCATTCTTTTTAAGCCCTCTGGATTGCTTCCTGGCCCTAGGACCTGGACTGTGGTCCCAGAGGTCTCCTTGACTCCACCCTCGATGGGTGCCTGCCTACTTAACCGTTGCTTCTTGGCTTCCCCGTGTCTCTCTCCAGGCAGACCTCAACACCAACATGGAGGATGAGGGCAGCTCCTTCTACGGGGTGTCCAGCCAATACGAGAGTCCCGAGAACATGATAATCACCTGCTCCACCAAGGTCTGCTCATTCGGCAAGCAGGTGGTAGAGAAAGTGGAGGTAGGAGCACCCTGTGAACTCGTTAAAGCAAATCTTTTCATTGTTTCAGGCTGGTCTTCATTTCCTGTCCTCCTCTTAATTTGTCTGGATTAATGAAGTCTTACCCTCACAGTATCTTAGTTACTGATAACCCTCCTCATGTTAAACATGACCAGAGGCCAGACTGGTACCAGGGAGGACACATCCCACTTCAGGTTCTTGACTCTGGCTGCACCTTAGTTCCCTGGAGCTTTTGAAACCCACCAATGCCCACCTCACAGCACTTAACCCAGAATCTCTAGGGTGGAATCTGGGTAATAGCTGTTTATAAAAAGCCCTCGATTTATTTATTTTAAATTAAATTTTTATTTTGAGATACTTGTAGATCCACATGCAATTGTAATCTCATGTACCCTTCACCCAGTTCCCCCAATGGCAACATTTTATGTAACCAGAGCATAATATTGGCAACCAGGAAACTGACATTGATCCCACTCACCAATCCGATTTTGCTTTCATTGGTTTGCATGCATTCATTTGCCTGTGTGTGTGCGTGCGTGCGTGTATGTGTGTGTGTGTAGATGTATAGATACAAACATATGACAGTTCTATGACCACAAGGTTCCTGTGTACCCTTCACCCATGTTATTTTAGCATACAGCCAGGATTGAGACATCATCTATCCCATCTCGCCTATTGCCACTATTCTTATCTTGAAGCTCTCCTTCTCTAGCACCCAGCTTCTGCTTGTCACTGAGAGGAGGGAGGCCCTGTTCTCAAGGGTCCCCAGGCTTCCTGCCTTTTCTTCCCACTTAAGAGTCAATGGGTCGTGGAGCTTCCCATGCAGTCGGGCCGGGACTGGATGTGGTCAAAGAGATTCTAAGCCCTGCTGTCCCCTGGGTCCTGCAGACAGAGTATGCCCGCTATGAGAATGGCCACTACTCCTACCGCATTCATCGGTCCCCACTCTGTGAGTACATGATCAACTTCATCCACAAGCTGAAGCACCTGCCCGAGAAGTACATGATGAACAGCGTACTGGAGAACTTCACCATCCTGCAGGTGAGGGGTCCGCTGCAGATGGGGGGCGAGGGTAGATTGGTTGGTAGAGCAAATGGCATGCTCTCATCTGGGGCCTTAACCTTCATCTTTTCTCTCACTCGCAGGTGGTCACCAACAGAGACACACAGGAGACCTTGCTGTGTATTGCATATGTCTTCGAGGTGTCAGCCAGCGAGCATGGGGCTCAGCACCACATCTACCGGCTGGTGAAAGACTAAGAGACTCGGGGAGCAGGGAGGGGGGAAGAGACATCGTGTGCGTAGGGACTCGGGGAGGGGACGTGCTGAGGCAGTCCCCTGAAGTGCCAAGAGAGCTGAGAGGTCCTGACTATTCCTACCCAGGAACAAACTGCCTGAACCTGCAGTGCCCAACCCCAAATAAACCCAGGATGTTGTGTATTTTCAGAGGACCTGATCTGACTGTCTGAGCCTTGGAAGGGAATGGGAAAAGGGGGGCAGTCTGGGAAGCAGGCCAGAAACAGCCCCAGACATGCATCTCCGGCAGTTCTGAAGCCATTGCCCCACTGGACTCAGCCAGGAACGTCGCCAGATGCTGAAGCTCAAGATGGGATGGTCCCCCTGCTGCCACTCGAGTCCCTGTCCTCTGCTTCTGGCCACCCTGAGAGGCCTGAGGATAGGCATGTGGGTTCTCCGTTTTGCGCACGCTCACATGTGCACCATGGCTACTTGTGCACAATGCATCTTCTTGGCACTTCTTGGCCACTTCTGCTGCCACTGCAAAAAGACAGCTAACGGGGAGGATGGTCTAGCCCAGAGTTTGGATTTTAGGTGTGGAGCTGACTGAGTTGTTGGGAAAGTTGGAAGGGGATATAGAGCTGTTTAGATGGTTTTCACCCATCTCTGGTGGTCGTGGATTCCGTGGCCCTGCCGGCTTGTTATGGGGACTGGTTCCCAATCAGAGGAACCCGAGACATGGAGGGCAGGAGGGGCAGTGCCGAAGCCAGCCTGTGGAGTTGAGGTGCTGAGGTTGGCTCCACGCAGCATCCTTTTTGGTGGGGAAGGCCAAGGAAGATGGTTAGAGGTATGTGGTGGGCCAGTGGTCTCTGAGACCATTCAGTTCTGATATTCTGAGTCTTACCTCAATGTTCTTCCCAGCCAAGATGTCTGTTGGGTGGTGACTACCTCGGAGCCAGCCCAGACCATCCACTCCTTCCCCAAACAGTACTTTCTATGCTCCCTGGAGATGGAGGAGGAGGGATGTGGAACCCCTTCCGGGCCTAGAGGTAACCATTGAAGGAGTTTTGTGTTTATTTCTCCCAATAACTGTCAGGGGCTTTGGATTTCAGCAGTACTGGCTTTGTCCTAGCTGCCTGGCCTTGGGCAACGTTCTCTACCTGCCTGAGCCTGTAAAAGGGGCAAGCAATAGCACCTACCTTAGAAAGCCTTAGTGAGGAGGAGAGAGAATGTCTGCAAAGTGCCCGATGCAAGATGCACTAAACTTTAGGATAGCTTATAAGGTGCCTCCCTCAGGGAAGCCTGGGTCTGGCTCTTTGCTGCCATCTAGTGGCTCTTTGGTATCATCCCTGATGGGAACCACAATCCCAGGAGCTTGGGATTCAACCTACAGGTGTTTACTGTGTTCCCAGCCCTCCAGGTGGTAGTATGTGGGAATACACAAATGAGGAAGACAGCATCTAGGAGAGGGTACTGAGTGGTAGTTAGGAGCGAGGGCTCTGGAATCAGACCACCAGGATTGGAATTCTGGAGCTCAGCTACTGACTAGCCACGTGGCCTTGGGGAAAATTATTTAACATCATTGTGCCTCAGTTTCCCCATCTGTAAAATGGGTATAACTGTACCTACCTCGTATACATAAAGTGCCTAGCATAGTGCCAAACACATAAATGCGTCTGATAAATTACTTTATTATTAATAGTAGGAGCTTGCAGTCTAGAGTCAGATTGGGAAACTCGTAAGTGTGGCGGATCCTCAGAGCAACTGGAGTTCAAAGATGAGAGAGAGTAGGGTGTCGAGGATTCAAGGAAGGGGCTGCAACTGAAAGGAGATGCCCTGTAAAGGATGAGCAATGTTTAGATAAGCAGACAGGAAGGCTGGCCAGCATTGCAGGTGGGGAAAAGAAGCCAGCTCTTCAGTATCCTTCTGTCCTCCACAGGCCAGCACCCCTTCTTCATCAAAAAGCAACTTTAACAAACACCTCTGAGCTACTGCTAGACCTCCTGCCAAGTTGCTTAACTCTACTGTACGTGGGGGCTGGCTCTCATCAGAAGCTGTGATGTGGAGGTGGGGTGTGGGGTCCCTGAGTCCCTGAGCGGGCAGCATGTGCTCACATGTCTGTGGGGGTTTGTGTTTGTGTAAGGGTCTCCTGCCCCTCCCCCAGCCACCCCTCTCCCCTCCCCTATTCCTGTGGCAGTTTGAATAAGGGAGCTCATGATGCCTGCCCTGCTAGCTTGACTGGGGATCTTCAGACAAATGCTCATGAAGGATGTGTGACAAATGGGACAAATGCACAAGTTAAGGTGATGATCTTTTTGAGTCATGGGTGGGAAGAAGTCTACAGATGTTGGAGCCAGGTGCTGGCTGTGCATTTTCTCTTCTCTTTAGGAACTGACCTCAGTAGCCTAATGGAGAATCACCTAACTTCTAGCTGTGAATTCCAAACCAGTCAGCTGTGGGGAACACAGACAAGATGTAGGTGCCTATCTCACTGGTGTAGTGGAGACTGTGACCCTTGGAGCCAATGGGAGACCTGACCTGGCCCCACCTCTCCAGCAGCCTCATCTGACACTCCCCTGTGCTTTCTGAATCACTTACCCAAGTGCCAGTGTGAAGTCACCTTTTCTCATGCGGAAGAGCTTGTCACTCCTGCCTTTGTGTGGCAAAAGCATTCCATTCATGACGTGTTGAGAGCACTTGTTATTTGGTACCAGAATACATGCCAGGCACCTCTGTGCTAATCCTCACCAGATAAGTGCTGTGCTGTTATTCCCATTTTAAAGATGAGGAAAGTGGGGCAGAGAAAGGAACTAACTTTCTTGGAATACTCATGCATTTATTCCTTTACTTAGCACATACTTATTTAACTTTAGCTTTGTGCCTGGCACTGGGAGTGTGTCAATGACCAAGACAGACAAGGTCCTTGGGGGGCTTATGTTTTACTGAGGAAGAAAGACACAGTAAATGAGGAAACAAGACATGCAGATGTGATATGTGCTGTCAAGGTGATGAGAGGGTGCTGAGGCTGGGAGTTGCTGGGGCCCCTCTGAGGGTGAGGGCAGGAAGGTGACGTCTGGTGTGTCCCAGGACAGTGTGTCAGAAATACGGAGGGAAAGACATGTAGACCAAGGCGCGGAAGCGGGCAGGGGCTACATACAGATGGGGAGGAGCGAGTGACCCACCTCTCTCCTCCACGGGCCAGCACCCCCTCACTCGGTAAGGACTTTGGGTTTTACTCCATGTGAAGGGTGGTCCTGGAAGGGTATTGAGCAAGGGAGTAAGTCTTTTTGATCTGATTTTTAGAAAACAGCACTGGGGCTGTGGCGGACTACAGAGAAACACATGTAATTGTCTGCTTCTGAGTGTGTCTTCCCTCCTGGACTCAACTTCTGTGGGTGGAGACTGGATTTCCTGGTCTGTTATTTTCTGTAGACCAAACACCATGCCTGAGCCTAAGGTGCCCATTAAACATGTGATGAATGAGTGCACATGCACAAGGCACCCTTTGGGCCTTGAGAGTAGGGGGTCCCTGAGCCTCTGGGATAGAGCCCCTTGCCCTCTTGACGTGATCTAGAGCTGGCAGGGAGCGTCATCGAGATGGGGATGTGGAAACAGACCGCCTATCTCATGGCGTCTGATGATGACGGAGCAGCCTGTGTCCTAGTGGCCACCAGTGAACTTCCATAGAGTGGGATCTTCTGAGAGAGACCCATGCAGGAGGAGTTTGAGGTGCGTGTGCATGAGTGTGTGCGTGTGTGTGCATGTGTATGTAGACATGGGCTCTGCCCTTTCAGGACTGAAGCCGGCGGGGAGTGTGGAGCAAGGGGCTGCTGGGCCTCCTGCATGCTGTGTGCACTCAGTGCGTCACTTGTTCCCGCTTCCTGAGGTTTTAGAGGACAGCAGGGTGGTGACGGGGCTAGAGGTAGGAGGGCTGGTGTCCCTTGTAAGCAGGGAGCTCTGACAACTGCTAGGGCTGGTCTTGGTGTGGGGCTTGGTTGGGCCACCAGGGCCACCTCTGCACAGAAGAATGTTGAGTTCCAGCAGTAAAGTGTTTGGTTTTACCTCGGACAGTTATACCCAGCAGTCATTGTGTTTGACCCCTTCTTACGTTATCTGTTATGTCAGCTCCAAGAAGGAAACCAAGAAGCTTTTCTCTAAAGAGTTAAATCTAAACAAGCTGGTTTTAAGAACTTAAAACCTGGAGCCAGGCTGATCTAGGGCCGAATTGGTTTCTTACAAGTTGCGTGATCTTGGGCAAATGACATACTTTCTCGAAGCCTTCATAACCCCATCGTGGAATGGGAGCAAAATTGCTTTGACTTTAGGTTACTGTCAGGAGGAAGAAAGGCCATAGTATGTATGAGAGAGCAGTACCACTCCTCACTCAGAGTGAGCTCTCAGAGAATGTTAATAACTTAGGAGTATAAAAACTTCCTGGACCACTCTTCTCATTCCTGACACACACGCATGCACGCATGCATGCGCTGGCGCGTGAGCACTTATTTTTAGAAGAAAAAAAGCTCTATTCAAAGCAGACAAGGAGAGGCCTCAAGGTTGAGAGAGGGGCCCCCACGGCCCCAGGGAAGGGTCTCCAAAAGGAGGACAGAACAAATGGTGGGCTAAGCTACTCTGAATAGGAAACTGTCCAGAATTCAGTTTTTGTTTACTTCCTGAAAAGGACAGGAAGAGGTGGTCAAGTACCTTCGTAGAAGGGTGGAGTCCAGTTGGCGGAAATGGCTAAGGGTCTTTTTAAGCTCATGATGTCTGATATTCAACTAAGTTTTTGTATTTTTGCTATGAAAACTCCCTTTGTCTCTCCACATCTTCAGTAAAGTGTGCTATGTACACAAAGGCCTTTGTGTGAGTGATTTCTTTTTATGGAAATGAAAGACTCATCTGTCAATAGAGCTACAAAAGCAGCCATGGCAGCAGAGTGAAGCCATAAAGGTATCATAACTGAGCCACGCCAGCAGGAGCAAGAGCTCAGAGCCATGTGAGTAGCTCACCCAGCCAGCCTAGTCGCTCCCAAGAAAACAGAAAGCACTTGGGGCATGCCTGCACACGTGAGGCACAGTTCAAGCCAGTGTCATTGGGCTATCAGAGAGCAAGTGCCTCGGCTACCATCTGGGTTACATAAATTTCTTAACCACCTCCAAAGTGAGGAAGAAGTGAGAAGTTCTTCAGGCAGGGCTGGTAGGATGAGGTCCCAGTTTGGCATCTTTGGAACTTGATTTTAGCCTTTGATCCAGGCATGAGCAGGCCCACAGGACTGGCTTGCTCACCAAAGTCAGAGCAACAATTGATAAGCTGAAGTGCCACTTCATTAATTCAGTACCACTCCCAAGTCATGGGAACACCCATGTCCACTTGTCAGTACATTCTTTCCTCTGCAGGGAACCCTTCCTCCACGGGAAACCAGATCACTTGCATCTGGTGGCTTGTGTATATATTCGAGGAAGGTGTTGGGTGATCTTAAAGGACTGTGCACCTGCGATGTTGAGAGTCTGGTGCCCCTTTCTCCACTTTGGGGACCTGAATTCTCCCATCCAAGGATTGAGGAATGCTTTTTTTTTCCTCCTGGACATTGGTTAGAGATGGCTCCTTTTTTTGTAACCACAAGTCCTATTACATCATGATGAAAAGCTCCAATGCTTGTGAATATTTGGTCTGTTGCCATTCTTCAGACACTGCTGAGCACCTAACACATACTAGCTACTGTACTACACTCATTCTTACTAGTTTGGAGTTCAGAAGCGGATAGTTCCTAAGCCCCATTTACCTGGAGCAAATCCCTCCTCTCCCTCTCAGAGTGGGGAGCAGGAGACTACCTCTGTGACAGGGCCTGCTTGGTCACAGGCTCAGTATGTGGGCTGGATCAGCAGCCTGACACTACTCCCTTATCTTAGGTGTGGGAGCATGGAGAACAGGTGGCCTTAGATTGTGAGTTTTTCTTGGCTCTCAGGTTCGTGGGTAGCCCTGGGCATCATAGATGGGCTTACAGCTTGGGATTGAGGAAAGGAAGGGAGGGGGAAGGAGCAGGAAAACGTGAGAAGGGGTGAGGGAAGAGCAGGGTGGGAGTGCCACTATTGTCCCCCAAGGCTTATCCTTTCAGGCCCTGCCAACAGAAATTAGTGGTACGGGGTGGCTGGTGTGTCACAGCAATCATTCTAGCACACGGCAAACATTTACTGAGCACATACTGCATGCCAACGACTATTCTAGGTGCTGAGGGTGCCAGGGGAGAATATAAAGGTCCTTGCTTTCATGGAATGTCCATTCTAGTAGGAGAGACTGATGATAAATAAGAAGAAAAGGTAAGCAGGAAAATAGCAGGAAGTGATGAGTGCTTTGATGACAATAAAACAGGATGACATCGGAATAGGGTTTGGCCATATCTAGCCAGCCACTTGGTTTTTTATTGCCAGATGCTGAGAATGGTTTTTATGTTTTTAAATGGTTAAAAAAAATCAAAAGGAGAATAACACTTGTAACCTGATATGAAATTCAAGTTTCAGTGTCCATACATAGTTTTGTTGGCACATAGCCACGGTCACTTGATTTTGTGCTGTCGATGGCTGCCTTTGTGCTACATGCAGAGCTGAGTGGTGGCAACGGAGACCACACATGGCTTGCGATGCCTGAGAAAACCTGCTATCTGCCCTTTATAGAAAAAGTCTGCTAACGCCTGTCTGTGGCTGGAGGGGGCTTCTTCAGAGTAGATGGTCATTGAAGGTCTCTCTGAGGTGACAATAGGAGCCAGCCATGTGAAGATCTGGGGAAGGGAACCCCTATTTTGAGAATGCTGAGGTGGAAGAGAACTCAGCACGTTCAAGTGGCAGGAAGGGCAGCTGCAGTGCAGCTGGAGGAGTATCCTGAGTCTCATGGGGGCTGCACCTTCACTGATTTATCCGAGGAGAGCAATGGTTTCAGGGATGTGGTTCACCTCCCAACCTGCTGTTTCCTTACAGTTGCTTTTCCCTTGGTTTGTTTTGGTCTTTGTCATTTGTGTTAGAGCCTTTCCTCAGAAGCCCGATATTTCATAGTTCTTTGCTTCTACTTAAGAGGGTCACTGAAAGCCTGGAAGAGGCTCTGACCAGATGGGCAGGTGTTGGAGGCTGGCTGTGCTACGTAGACATCTGGTGGGGCTTTTATTTTAGGAAGCAGATTTGTAAAGGGTATTTCTTCCTGGCCCTGTCAGATTCCATGGAAAGAGTTCCCCCAGTTTCTTGCTGGAGATAACTGTCTGGCCATCAGCATTCTGGGAACCAAGTGGGAAAAACGTGCCAGGGACGTCTCAACATTCAGTATGGAAACTTTCACCAGTTCTGTTTTCTCCACGGTTCTCTTGTGTTCAACTGGACCTGAAGCCCCCCCGTCCAGAGACACCAGTGTTCCCCTCTCCCAGGGAGAGAACTCCTGGCTTCTGGCTGAGCTGGAGAGGGGCAGCCCCCAGCCGCACAGAGTCGAGGAGAGGGTTTGGGGATCTATGTCTTCTGGAATAGTTCTTCTGTCTTCACCTCCATTTCCAGAGGTACCTGGTGCCATCACTTCTTGTCTTGGGGAGAGTTTGGTGGTATAAATCATATTCCTTTTTGACTTCCTCTGGGTTAGGATTCAGCTTTCTCCGGTCTGCTAAATCAGTTGGCACTCGTCCTGTTTTCCAGCCTCTGAATTTTCGTCACTATTCCCTCTCCTGTTTTCTTTGTCCTTTAGAGACACTTAAAAAAATCCCTTTATGGTCATCTTAGAAGGGTTTCAAGAGGGGACAAAGTAGATGTGTTGAATCTATCACCTTTTCCTGATTTATTTAAAATATCACTCTGGACTTTGTGTGAAGACAGATAATAGGAGGGCAGGAGTAGAAGCAGGGAGATCCAGTGAAGGGGTTATGCAAGGTCTAGGTGAAAGATGGTGGTGCTCTGGATAAGAGTGTAGCAGTGGAGATGAAAGTGGATGACCTTGAGACATGTTTTAAAGATAGTCATTATGACTTCCTGATGGCTTGGGTGTAGGGAGTACGGGAAAGTGAAGAATTAAGATTAACTCCAATTTCCTGGCTTCAGTCATTGGTGCCATTTACTTTGATGGGAAGGTCTTGGGGAGGAGCAAGTTTGTGGGTGGAGAACAAGAATTAGGGCCACCTATGAGACACCCAATTAGAGTGTGAAGCAGCAGGTACGTCTGTGGTTCCGACTTAAGGTGAGAGGTCGGGGCTGGATTCAGAATCGGCATCTGGACTGGCATTTAAATGCTTTGGACTAGATGAGATAACTCAGGAGGAGGAGGAGGATGGAGAAGAAAGAGGTACCCCTGGGACTGCTCTGAGTCATTTCAACATTAGAGGGTAGAACAGAGAAGGAGGTAAACCTGGAAAGTGTGTTTTTCTTCTCAGTAATAAGGAGAAGAAAGTGTTTCCATGGGAAGTGGTGAAATGCTACTGGCAGATAGTTGAAGAAGAGGATGGAGAAATGACCATTTGTGGTAGACTTCCTGGTCTCCCTTTCCTGAGTAATAAGACCCTTCCATTTTAGCTGGGCACATGGTCATTCAGAATAAAAATCATATTTCCTAATCTCCCTTGCAGCCAGATATGACCAATGAAGATAAATAGAAGTATCCTAAAAAGGAGGAAGCATGTTCTTCACCTCTTTTTCTTTTCAGTTGACTGGACTGTGATGTAATGGCTGGATTTCCTGCAGCCTTTTTGGACCATGAGATGACCTTAGAAATGGAAGTTACCTGTGGTAAAGCAATAGATAAAAAGCTCGTGGGTCTTTGATACCATGGAGCACCATAACAGCTCTGGACAGATTATATGTGAGAGAGAAATAAAATATCTTCTCTAAGTCACTTTTATTTTGTGTTTTCTATAATTAGCTGCCAAACTTAATTCTAACTGATATATCATTGGATTTGGCAACAAACATAGAGGCATAGTGGTCAAAGCATGAACAGCTATAAACACAACAACAGTAATACCACTGCTGACTTTTCATAGCACTTTTCTATTTACAGAGCACTTTCAAATATACTTTCTTGCCTGATGTTTGCAGCTCTGTTGTGATAACGTATACATTCTCTTCATAGATGAAGAAACTGAGGCCCAGAGAAATCACTAACTCATGTCACCTGGTTACTAAGTCACAGGTCTTATACTTCAACCTGGATCTTCTGGCTCCTCACCCCATGTTCATGAAGGTGGGTGGATAGTGGGTTATAAATGTGCCCGAGGTTCTACCCCAGAGTTTACCTGACACTGGGCAGGGTAGTTGGGCGTTAGCCCCCAAAGATCCCAGACAGTGCTGGCATTAAGGAGAAAGCAAATTTTTGGTGCAGCAATCAAAGCTTTCTCACTTTTCAGGAAAATGCCTATATTTCTATAGGGGCGATGTGGGGTGCAGGAAGTTGTGGAGGATTAAGAGAAGTAAAAATTAGACAACCACCAACATTGAAGGGAAAATGTGTTCACCAGCTGGCATGTTAGCAATCCCATTTGGGAAGCAATCGGGTAGCAATCGGGTGTTCAGACCAAGAGTCTGCTGATTATCCTCTGACCATATAAATGTTTCCTCGGTATCAAAGAGATCTGCTTCTCTTCGCAGTCTCCTCTCCTCAGAGGCCAAGCTGAGAACTTTTGAAGTTTGGCACGATTCTCTCCTTCTGCTTTTCCTCTTTAGTAACTGCTTTGCTGACTTCTTTTAATCTCGTTCCCTAAATCCCCGGCAATCCTGATGTAGACACTTTCTGGCGGGTGCATGCCTAATGTCATTTTGAGATTGTTGGGGGTATATAGATTTTAAGCTGATGAAGGGTTTGCACCTTCCTAACAGTCTGCAGTGAAGGTGAG